TTAATCCTGGCTGAAATGCCAGAACACCATTCAAAGATGAACTGGAACTTGAAAGCAGACTTTCTTTTGAGAAGCCACAGGAGGTTATAAAGGTCAAATAATGCTAATAATAAAATTCTGCAGTTGTTTTTGATCTAAGGCAGACACAATTTAAAGGAAAAAAAAAAAAGCAACCCTGAAATCTATTTTAAAATATTGAAGCTTCTTCCTGAAAATTAACACTTCTGGTGTTAAAATTTACATTAGCAGAGCTGCATGATTTATTTTGGCTGTACATAGTGAGTCATTCTGCTTTTATTTTTATTTTTTTCTATATAAATATCTCTGGCTTGTGTTGAAGGTGAAAATGATGGAGAACCAGTGCTTTGTCAGACCTCAGGAAGATTTTTTTGAGAACTGCCACATGAATGTCCATGCTCATTCACTTGGGTGTAACCTGAAGGAAATCCAGTGATGTTTAATATTGAACACAGTGTCAGGAAACACTTCCTAGCTGAGGTTCATTCCCAGTGCCAGCAAGGGACATGAGAGGTGTGTGTGACCTCTGAACTACAGCAGGGTTGGAAAATATAATTACAGCTACTCCATGGATTGAACCAGGCAGTATGGGCTGGATTCAAATGATAACTAATTAAATCTTCTTTTCTTCTGCCTTCTCCAGAGGAAGCTGCCAGCCTTGCCTCCAGCCATTCTGTGTTGAGCAAGTGGTTTATCCCAAAGCAGTGGTTTGTTTTCTAATCAGAGTTTGTGCCTGACCTTGCATCAGCTCAGCTGGTGGTAGACTGCAGACAGAGCCAGAAAACAGTTTTGGGTTTTGATGCTCTTCCAAGTTGCTTTTGTATCACCTTTATCAGGGTTATGTGTGTGTAAACACAAAGAATTAAGGAGACTTTATCTGGTGCTGCTGGTGAGCTCTGAGGGCGGTGGTGGTGGAAGACAATCACATCAAAGCTGGTTTTGTTCTGAATTTGTGACAGAACTTCTGTTGTGCTGCAACTGAATGCTGATACCATCACTGTGAATGGTAAATGCACTGCAGTGGTCATTTATCTCTGACAGGAATCAGCACAAAACCCCAACATTTGTTTCAGAAGCTTGAATTTATTTAATAGGATGAGGGAAAGAAAGAATGAGCAATTTTGTACTCCAGGATGGAAGTTTGGTGAGCAAGTGTATCCATCAGTGTTAAGACCTGTCAAACACTGGCAGTTCTCTCAAATTTAAACACATTGAGGGCAGCAGAGAATTCCTCAAGGCAGGGAAGATCTTCCCTGGGACTCATCTCGCTGCTCACAGTGATTCTTTCTGGACTTTGTGCTTTCATTGACAACGACTGTTTTGGCACTGCTCTTTTATCATCAGCACAAATCTGTAAGAAGTCTGTTTCAGCATCCCTGTGTTGCAGTTTAAAGTTGATAAGTCTTTATTCCTGGCTCTGTGAGGTTTAAAGGAGGACTGGTATGATATTTATAGGAAGTGAAGTTTGTGTGGGGAAACAAGAGTGACTATTGATAAGTTGATTTCACATTATATCTCAAAACATTGTCTGTTTTGTCTGTAAGGAAAGTTCAGAGTTTCCTTTGGCAGAGCTTTGTGGTGGTTAATTCATACTGACAGGTATTTCTTTAAAAAAGAAAAAAGAATCAAACTTGTCATGAGTTCTTCCAGCAGTCAAATGTGGCCAGGTCTCATGTATACTGTCTGAAAACTTTGAACATTTTCAGTTTTGTTTTGTATGGTTATTTATATGACTTTAAAAGGATGTGCATACCTTCTGTAGCCTGTATCACTGTCTGCCATCACAGGCTGCCTCTTAAACTCTGTAAAATATAATACAGTTCAATACTTATATCCTGCAGGCTTGCAGTTAACATTTTTGGATCTCTGAATCTTTGCTTATGTAATGATTTTAAATATAGAGTGGTTATAATTTCAAAGATAGAAGATAGTGACTGGAGATTGCTGCTGCCAGTTTTACCAAATGGCTGCAAGGAAAGCGTTTGCTCAATTTTAGTGTTAGGCAAAAGTTGAAGGCAACTTTTTCCTATACAGAGTGAACAGGAGTGCACTCAGCATGAAAGCCCATCTTTGGGGATGAGTGGGGAAATTATATTTAAACCTTTATTTTCTTTGGTTCATCCATCTCTTATTTCCAGAGTGCACTTATCAGGATCTAGAGGTTCATATTGGTATTTTCTGTAGTGATATTTATTCAGCATGGTTGGGTGTTGGCTCTGAGCTGAGATAGGGTTGTTACACAGGAAACTGAATTTTAACCAATAACAAAGTTCTAATCAGGTTGGAACTAGATATGCTTTATTTAGTTAAAAAAACCCAAAACAACTGCCTTGCCTCTGTGCTGTCACACATACTTTCCTATAAAATATTATCTAGAAATAGTGTAAGAAAACCAAATTTAGGGATGCTGTCACCAAAAGGAAGTCAATGTGATTCCACAATTGGTATTTTTTCGCAACCTACAAGCATTTCTCCTGTAAGGCTTCTTTGCATCTAGGTTTTCTTGGATCCTGAGAAAAACATGGTAATCCTCTTTTATATTGCTAAATATGTCTTGTTTTCCTCTATGCCCTGCCTTCCCCATGGAAAATTTTCTTCAGGCAGTCAGCCTTTGCCATGAGTAGCTTGATAATCATGCTGACCTGAGAGCCAGTGCTGCTGGGTCTGTATTTGCTGCCTTTAAACACTGAAAGTGGAATATTTCCATTCCAGATATTCCAAAGTGGAATATTTGATTCCAAAAGCATTCTCTTCTTTTCCAAAGCTTGTCTGTAGCTAAAGTTTAGAGCTGTTTCTCATTGTGTCTCTGATGCTGGCGTAGGAGAATTCCTGTAGAAGGCTTGGATTTTTTGGTGCTGCCTCTGTCAGAGGAGCCCACAAGAGTAATAAAACATCTGTGTAAGATGTTCTATTTTCTTACGTCCTTTTACAGGCAGTTCTAAAAGTTTGTTTCCTTATTCCTGTAATTAAAACAAAATCTTGTTTCCTCATTATTTTCTCTTTTGTAAACTCCTAGAGGAAGGCTCTGGATAGCAAGTGAGGATTTCTTGCTAATACTTTATCCCAGCAGGAAATCAGAGTTTTAGAAGGATGCAGAATGTGTTCTAGATTACCAAGCTTATGGTAACCTTGGTAAACCTTCACTGATTTGGTTCTTTAAATTTCTCCTGTGTCTGGCTTTGTTTGCTGCTTGATACCACTGGCAGGTGGAAGTATGAATGTAAAGCTAATTACAAAGAGAGCAGTAAGTAGATGAGGTGTGAGACAGTGCAGCTGTAGAAGAGTCAGAGTTCAGACAAAACTGGGAATGAAGGTGGAAGGTTTGGGAGTGAGGAAAGCTGCCTGCATTCCTCTCTGCTGCCAGTGCAGGTTTCCCACTCAGCACAGATTCTCCTGTGGGTTATTTGGAGTGGAACTGAGCTCAGGCTGTTCTGGACTCGTTTTGTACGAGCACCAATGTGCCAGGAGGACACAAGATGTGTTCAGGTGCTCCAGCAGGGACTGAGGGCACATCAAGCCTGTCACACCCACTGCCACTGATTTCCTGATGCTCGGCTGTGTCAGTCTCCCTGGGAAGCTCATTTTGTTCTGCCATGAGGTTCTGTGCTGCTCAAGTCTCCAGGGAAAGGAAGAAACAGGAATTTGCTCCAGTGTGGTTATTGCACACATTAATTGCAGCCCTGCATGCTGCTGCAAACATTGCTTTAAATTCTGCTGCTGTGGGCTTTTAGTTCTTGCTTGTCTGTGTCCAGGCACGTGTGATCCATCCCATTTAATGAGTTTATTCCAGATCTACCCTGGCTGCAACCATTTCTGCTGCAGCTCATGGAAATGCTTGTATTTAATGAGGGAATTATCTGAATCTTGTACTATTAAATGTTATGCTGGAAGCTGGGAAAACAATGTGTGTTAGTGGAATATCAAGGCCTCAATTACAAATGTTTTAAGGAGGATTCAGTGTTCTAAAATGACTATGTAAAAAAAAAAAATCATACTGTCAGTTGTCACCTGCAAATCTCAGATTTACAAGAAGAAATGAAGGTGTTGTAGATAAAGTATTTATGTAGATGATATGCACTCTTTTGTGAGTTTGTTCTTTCAAATATTCATCTACTTACACCAATAGCTAAGATATTCAGTTTGTCTGGATGTTAAAACTGGAGAAGTTCTTTTACCTTGGAACAAGCATGTTTTGGTAAATAATCACAAGCTTGTCCTTCATAGTATAGAAAAACTTCTCCTTTGAGATTTTTCTCTCCTACACAGATATTTGCTTTGAAGTATATTTGTTTTCACTTTAAATATTTGAATTAGGAATTTCCTTCTTTCCCCACTCTCAAATCCTTGAACAGGTACTGCACCACAGTTAGAAACTCATTTTCTTCCTGCTTTCTCTTCTACTTCCTATGTGGTTCTTTGGAATTTGTTAAGAGTTGGAGAACTAGAAACCTAAACCTTGACTTTGTGTGCTTTGATATTCCATGTGCTTGTGGAGAGTGTTTTCACAGAAGGGGAAGTGTCTGTGTGTGTGTGTGTTTATAGAAAGAGGATGTGAAAGTCGTAGTAATTGGATACAAATGGGAGTGAGCTGGGGGTGAGAGTCAACATCTGCTGGGTTTTGAGGCTGTGCTGGTAACTCAGTGACCTCTATTCAGTTTCACTACAGCCAGGAAAATTTGCTTATGTTAAAAATTCTAGTGGATATGAGAAGAATTAAGCCTCCATTAAATTTAATCACTGCTGCCTAAGGCTACTTTCCCCCCTCAAAAATGTGGAAAATATCTCTGGTAGGGCTTTATGTTGAAAACTTTGTCATTTTTTCATAGCAAGCAAAAATGGACATGTACATCATCTCATTATTGCTGGAATTATTTTACATTTTCTGCCCTCTAAGGTGGGGAAAGTGGAGAGGGGGACTGTTCAGTTAAATTGTCCTGTTTGGTTTACTGTTTAAAAACAGGAGCTTTGTTCTTTTTTTGCAGCCACTGATCTTCTTTTGGCTTGGAACCCCATTTGTCTGGGCCTGGTGGAGGGAGTCATTGGGAAAGTCCAGCTTCACACAGGTATGTTCTCTTCTGATGGGGTTTTTATTTGTTTACTGCTGAAGCTCTGGGATATTACAAGTGATACTGCATAGCTCCAGTGGAGCAGTGGAGTGTTTTTTGCTGTGGAGGAGTATTCTCCAATGGACTTGTCAAAATGATTCTGTTATAGCTGCACGTGCAAATTCACTCTGCTCTCCAGAGAAAGAATTGTGGTTTGGCACTGCCTTGTAAAAATGGAGACCTGCATTCACAAATAGTAGAAACTTGTATTTGAAATTCTGTCTGAATCTCCTTGTGAGATTTATAAAATTCTTAAATCTTTTGGAATAATCCTTTCAAGGAGATTCCTGTTGTTCTCCTGTGGTACAGTGCAAAAACTAATGAAGGAAACTTTCACAAAAGTGTAAGGCTTGAATTCTCAATGCTGTATAAAAACCTGAAGAATAATTGCTGCCTTGGTAGAGGAATTTTTGAAAGCAAGAGGAACACTTAAACTTGCTTGCCGTTAAATGACAGAGCTATAAAACTCAAGCAGGTGTAGAATTCATTGTTATTTTAATGATAAGCTTGTCTCTAACTGATAGTAGTAATGTTTTCCTGTAAAATAAACTCACTACTCCTTTTGCTTTATCAGCTGCAAATTCCAGTAGCCATAACAAGTATTAATTTTGATTTATACCAGCTTTGTCCAGCAAGGTAGCTGTGCCAGCAGAGCTCTGGCAGGTAGGAAAGGTGGTCACAAACCCTTGCTGTGTGCCATTGCTTTTGTGAGTGCCTACACCTGCATTTAAAGTAGTGCCTGGCAATATGATCAATACAGGTAAAGTTTCAAGTGTGTTCCAGGAGGGCAGGATGGATTAAGTGCTGAAATGGATCAGATGTTTGTGGTGCCTTGAATAGAAACAGATTGCTCAGGGTGGCAATGATGGGATGGAGAGCAGGGACTGGGACACCCTGGCATGGGTGTAGGGCACATAAATCCAAGGAGTTATTGGGGCTGGCTCCACAGATACTGTGAGCCCTGCTCCTGTTTCTGGGAGTAATAGCTCAGAGCCCACCTCTCCATGAAGTTGATGATCATGTCTTCTTTCTAGTCACATCACTTCATCTTCTTTGAGTTCACCTGATATTTCTGTCCGTGCTCATTCTCCAGATTTATTCCGCCACCCTTTTTCAGATCTGGTGCCATGAAGTGATTCAGACTCTGCCATCTCACTTTCTCTTCTTCATCCAGGTTGTCTGTGCTGGTCAGCATGTGCTGTCCATGATGAATGATGGCTAAACTCCAGTAATGACCTTTTTCTGCTGTGGGAAAGTGCTCAGTGATTGCTTTTGACACATGTTTTTGTGTTTGTGTGGGGTGTGGTGTTTTAAAGCCAGGCCCTTGGGTACACAAAAGCCTTTCCCCCTTCTCTCCTGGGAGTCTAGTTATGAAAGCCTTTGAAAAGGGAGACTTCAAATGCTTTCTGGAAGGTTTTTTAGTGTGTTGTGGCAACTAAAGATCTTTGCATGTGTGTTTATTGTGAGCTGCTTCCTCTGCTTATGAAATCTGAGGTGAAACTTTCCCCAGAGTGTGATACTTCAACAGGTGTCATCTTGCTGTTGTCAGGTAAATTAAGATTATCAGGTAATAAGCCTGATATCTCTTCTTTCCATGTGTCCTATAGAGCTCCTGAATCAATTAAGCTCATCCAGGCATTCCACTCAGCTGCTGCTTAGGTCAGTGGAAGTGTTTCCTTTTGTCTCTGCCTTGGTCAGCTGCCACCATCACAAACTGTTCATCCTTTTTGTTGTAGATACTCTGGAATTTAGTGATGCAACTCTCCTATAAGTGGTGTCTTGTTTTCTACTATGAAATGGCTAAAGAAAGATAGCCTCCAGCTATTTATCCTTTTATTTTGAGAGCTCCTGGAATTTGCTGCCATTTCCTGATGAGTGTCATCCATCAGGCTGCAGTGACAAGGAGAGGGCTGACTGAGGTGTCTCACACAGCTCTCCTCAAACCTGCTATTTTCAATGAACTTGGTCATATTCCAGCGTAGCTTGATGTTATCCTCAGGCTGAATCATCTAGCAGTCTGTAACAGAAACCTGTCTTCATTACTTATTCTTGTATCAATCTTTGTCACCTGGAAACTTTATCAGCAGAAGTTGTATAAATATTTAACATTGCTGGATGGTTCTGTCCAGGCTCAGCAGGAGAGCTCTGCTGCAGGAGCAGGGTGAAATGCCTGACCTGCAACAGGAGGACTTGCTGCTCTGATTTCTTCTCCTCTGCCCCCAGGTTATCAGGATCAGAAAAATTAATTTGAAGCTCATTTGGTGAATTTGGGCTTGTCCTGCTCAGAGCTTTGTTACCAGCTATTGTTGAAAAGAGGTTTTAAAAATCCTTGGAACACAAAAAAAGACTTAAGAACTTCAAATGCCTTTTAAAGTATTTGAGTTGCTACCAGTGCACTCTAGAGCTGTAGCAAAGCCTGTATGCACTTGAATGTCTTGGACATAGATCCTCGTGTGTTCTTGAAGGATTTGTTTATTGCAGGAATGCTGGAATTGTCTGAGGTGACCTTGAAATGTCCCCGTAATCAGTCATGGGCTGTCTGTAATTTAGCATTGGAATAGCCTTACCAATGAGCTGTAACTAGGGATGGGTTTTAATTTACTCTTCATCTTGCTGGCTTTATTGCTTGCCTCATACAGGAGAATTTGTAGGAAAGCTGCTGTGACAGGGAAGCTGTCTCATGGAAACCAGCTAGCCAATATTACATGGTTTATTTTTTAATTCTCCAAAGAATTTTTGACATGAGAGGCCAGTTGTACCTCTGAAGATAATTGTACACTTATATTTGAGATTCAAATCTATTTAAAGCAATATTTTGTTCTTCCCCAAAGTGAATTTTCTTAAACATTCAGATACTTTATTTTTTTGGGTGTGGAGGGAACTCAAACCCAAACAATAAAACGTTGGTTGAATATCAGAATGTAAGAATAGAATTGCTTACCATTATCTGGCCCATCCCAAAAGAACTTGTAAGAAAATGCAGAGTATCAATGGGAATAAAAGGAAAAGGGTTTTAGGATGTTTTGTGGAGATGTTACTGCAACAGATCATTGCTCATTTTCTTGGTAAGATGCACAGTTAAATTGTCTTTGCATAATCTTCCCATATAGAGGCAAACACATCTCTTGCATAAAGGATCTCCTTTATAGAATTTAAGTTTGTGGTCCAGTATATCTGACTATAACCAAAGCTGGATTTCCTAACCAGTTCCAGCAATTACCAATTAACACATTCATTTCTGCCACAGGTTCTTGTGTTTCTTGGTCAAAGCACACCCCTGTCTTTACTTGGATTCATTTGGAGTGTTCCAGTGCTGGTTAATTAAGACCCAGGTTAAATGCTGCTGGCAAGAGTCCACAGGCTCTGTAAACAGGGAGTTCTTCCTTCCTTATCCCCAGCTTGTTTTTTGTTTGCATGCCTCTGAATCTTGATAGAAACTACAGGCTGTTCTGAAATCTCCTCCCTGAGATATAACTGAATTTCATACAGTCAACAACCCAAAGCATTCTTTTTGCATGCAGCCAATTTTGAAGTTGTTCGAGTAACAAAAAGTATGAAATTGGTGGCATAGAATTTCTTGGCTAAAATCAAAATCCTTGCAGAAAGCAGCATTTGTAATAAACTCATGTACAGTTTATGAAAAGTTACTGAGAAAAGCATTTGGGGGAAAGTAAATGCTAGATTGTTAGGGAAGTGTTAGAGAAAAACAGCAGAGTTGTGCTGACAGTGTTGGAACAACAGAGGAGTAAATTTCCATTTTAGTGAGGAATGAGAGGTAATAGCTTCCTTTGGATGCAATACTTCAAACTAGTTGTCACCATCTGCTCTGCCTTAGTTCATAAAACACTGAAAATGAACATTATATCTCGAGAGATGACTTGAAAAGTGCACTTTTCTGGGGTGGCATGCAGCTGTCCTGTTGTGCAGGGCACACCACTCCTCACACATTGAGCAGGCAGTCACTAATCTGTGGAACTGCTTTTTTCCTCCTGACTGCAGAAGCACATTCTCTGTATTTAGGAATTCAGTTATTTAGGTGTTGCTGGCTATTATAATGTGCTGCTTTTATGGTTATTGTTGAAGCTTTTACTTCAGGGCATACTTTATCTGCATAATTACTTCCTGACTGTTTACTTTTGATCTGCTGGGGAATTCCTGTTTTCTTTCAATGTTCTGTGGCTCTGGCTGTAATACAGAGAGTTTTACAGTGTACACCAAGATGACATTTCAGTGCCTTTTTAAAAATGACAAAAGGATACTCGACTCACTTGTCTGTATAAACCTCTTAAGTTCTTGTTTACAGCTACCAGGTAGGGGGAAGACTGGGCAGAGATTTTTGCTTTTCCAGTTTTAGAAATGCCTAATGTCCAGTAGAACCCTACTGATTAATTCACTGGAGCTCAGGATGGTTGCCTTTGTTAGAAGAATATCTGTTTTGTTTGTTGGCATGCACTGGTGAGCTCCAAGGAGTAAATAAATAGTGTGGCCAGCCTTCTGCAGGTGGGAATAGATGAGATTACAGGACTGCCCAGCAGGAATACCTGCCTGCATGCCTTGGGAAAGCTTGGATTGCCCTGGCTTTCAGACATTGCTGGGTTTTCCTACTGGAAATCAGCACAGAAAGGGTAGATCTTTTCAGATGAACTGATAGGCATCTTTATGTGCTGCTGGTGGGTTTGGCAGCATTTCAGTTTCTCCTTTGCAAAAGGATTTTTTAAATCTGTTCATTGGTCTTCTTGCTGTTACATGAAATCTGTCATTTTCCTCAGCTTCCTTTTCCCCATGGCTGCTGGGGCAAGGGCAGGAGTTCTCCAAGGCATGTTCCCATAATTGCACAGAGGAGCTGCTCCAGCCCTGCTGGGCACTGGGGGTCACTGAGTGGCATTTGTGTCACTCTCCTCTCCTGGTCTGGTATTGGAATATGAACCCCAATATTACCAGTTAGATTGTGCCTGGGCCAGTCTGACCCTCGCTGCTGAGCCCGAGGCAGCTTCTGTGGCGCTTCACCCCAGAGACACCTTTAGCTTGCTGGTGGTTTCAGCTGGGCACTAAACCAGTCCAGGCTTGTTAGGGACTCTGTTTACCTCAGGAAGAGGCTTCAGGCGAAGGTGAAGAGAAAAAAGGAGGGATTCTGCCAGGGGGTTATATGCAGTGGTTTATTCCATGGTTACCGAGGTGTGAATCTTGGGGAGACCTCCAACAGAATCACGAGCACATGGCTGGACTCACCTTTTAAGCTCAGGGGGTGGGGAGGGGACAGGTGAGCCACCAACCAGGTGGGGGGGCGGGGTCTCAGGGGAGAATGACAGCTGGACAGGCCAATGACCTCCGGGCCTGAGGGGCATCCTTTGAACCTGACCAACCACACCATGCCTTTGCTGGAATGTTAAGCCTGATTGACAGGACTCAGCAAGGGGTGAGGGGGAAGGGGAAGAGAGGGTTTTGGCACACCTGGGTAAGGGACCTGAAAGTTGGAAACACACCGCAACAGTCTGGTGTACTTTGGGCAGCTTTAGGAGGTTGTGCTTGTGTGACAGCTTGGATTGTTCCTGTCCCTGCTCCAGCCTCGGGGCTGACTCTGCTCCATCAGGGTGGCACCTGAGCTCCCTCCTGCCCTGAGGTCTCTGATCCTGCAGGGATTTGGGTTCTGCTGCAGGGCCCAGGAGCAGCACAGGGCTCCCTTTGCACGACCATGCGCATTAAAGAAGCGCTGCCTGTCTTCATTCCCCTTCCCCTCCTGCCTTTTGGAGAAGCACCCTCTGGCTCTCACAACCTGTCTGTAGTTATGAAATTTTTAAAGGCTTCTTAATACCTAACACAAACATATCTCTTTTTTAAAGCAGTAATGCAGAATCCAAGGGGGGAGTGCAGTGTCACAGCACACAGTTGGCAGTGACTATTCCTGTCCTTTAGATAAAAAGAACTGCTGGGGTTTTCTGTGTTTTTCTTAAGCATTCAGAGGATAAAATAATGTTTAGAATTTACTGAGCAAGGAGAACAGGGTTTGTATTTGCTATAGAGCTGCTAAATAGATTTTTCAAAGGCTGTGTATGGTATTCAGAGGCACAATACATGACACATTCTGCCATCACAAGTGTGGGAGCATATTTAAGTCTATCACAGCAGGCTTTTTATGTCTTTATGTCACCTTTTCAGCTGAACTCAGTTGGCTGCTTCTCAGCTGGGAGAAGTAATGAGTGTCTATGTTTGTCTCTAGGACTTTCTCTGCCTTTTCCATCTCCCTTGACAGAACTTTTGCTGTTGGCTGCTAAAAAAGCCCATCACACAACTCCTGCTTTAGCCAAGGGATTGAAATCTGGGAATGTCCAGGCGCTCCTCAGCAGTCAGTGGGAATGTTTGCTGTGTTTCCCTGGCTTATTAAATTGTGGATGCTATAGCTGCAAGTGCTGGAGGCTGGATGTGTGCATGGAATGCACCTGTCACAAATATCTTCATTAATTTTTACCTCACTAATTTCTCCACCACTTTATGCTCTTCAGGAATGATATCATGAGCCTTTAAACACGTGTAAACTGCTTTATGTGGTGCAGTCCATGTTTACTCATCAGATTTCTTCACTCATGAATCTTGCAATCACGTGTTACCCGTGTCTGTCTTGTTTGCTACAGGACAGGAGGTACAAAGGGAAATTCTTAATTTGCTGTTTGATTTCCTGCTGTCCAGAAATTGTGCTGCCATCAGTGAGAATGTGCATCAGCCTAGAGATTCTTAATTCCTATAGGTGAAGCAGGGGTTACTTTAATGTAAGTCTGTGAAACAGTTAATCTCCTTATTATCTTGGAGACTGAATAAATACTTTAAAGCATGTTTAAAATTTTATTGCAATGCTAATAACAAAACACAACAATAACAAATCATCATTCACTGGGTTCTTCTAGTCAAATGATTTCTGGCACACTAATCAGAATAAATTCCTGACAAAACAAATAAAAGCATCTACTGATCTCTTTTTTTTCCCAGATTTACCATGGTGGCTGCTTTTAATTCGTCAGAAAGCATTGATTGGCAAACTTCCAGGAGATCACGAGGTGTGCAAAATAACCAAGATTGCAGTGATTCCACTGTCTGAGACAGAGCCTCAGGATCTGGAGCTGGAGGTATGGCCACCCTCAAGGAGCTCTGACTGTCCTCCTCCTGCTTCAGGGAAATGAAAGTCAAATGCCTCTTGTCACTTTGTCCTGGTATAATCAAACATCTTGAATATTTTGTGCTTTTAAAAATACTATTTCTTTTATTAAAAATATTTATTTAAACAGAAATCACAAGTTCTGCTGGCAAGGGAAATTGCAACAACATAATACCTAAATTTCATAAAGATCATTGGGAATACCACACAAGAATAAGATAAACTGAGCCAGGAGCAAGTATATTTTTAATGGATTCTCTTGCTTTCATCCCATTTTGGGATCTTAATTCCATAACTTAACTTGAAGGGAAACCCTTACTTAAAATGTTGCATTTTTTCCCCCAAAAGAGAATGGATAAAGGAACAAAAATAAAAATAAAACTGAGTAGTGCTAATTTAATTTGAGTGGGAAGTTGGGGTGTGTCTGGGTACTCAAGTCATGTCAGATTGAGGCAGTCTCACAATCATAGGAGAAAATGCCTTTTATAAAAGAGTGAGAATTACGGTGTAGATGGAAACCTGCATGTTCCCCCTCTATTTCTGTGTCTCCCCTAGGTCTGTGGACATCAAAACCTTGCCTTTGTAAACTTTCAGTTTCTTTTGAACTTTCTAAAGAGTATTTAAGTATTGGACTTAATTCAATGTCATTATTTTAGCTTTGTAAAAAGCACCATTTTGGGATAAACAAGCCAGAGAAGATAACACAGTCCCCAGATGATACAAAATTCCTGCTGAAGACTCTTACTCAAATTAAATCTAATGTGTCTGCTCCAAATAAAAAGAAGGTAAAGTTTTCTATTGTTTCATTCTTTGTTCCAAAATGTTGAGTTTATAGTTCAAAAGTTTTGATGGATGATCAAATGGAATACAAAGACTTTTAAAAGTTGCAGAATGTTGAGCTACTCTCTTGATGCCCAGTTTAATTTTTTTGATTACTTAGCTGTGTCTCTTCTGTGATTTTTTTTTTTCATTTTGTAATTACATAATTTTGGCAGAATTGCTAATAAGTTCTTTTTTACTAGGATTAGCTTCTAGTGAGGTTCTAAACTTCTAGAAATTTCTTTGCATAAGTATGTCTTATAGTAGAGAATTGGACCCAGAATTTGGTGCCTGGTTCCTCAGAACACCAAACAATCTCATCTAACTGCTTTAAACCAAGAATGGCTTGGATTAGGAGGTCAAAACAATAGTTATTAAAATTATGTTTCTCAGGCTGCTGTCCCTTGTGTTTTTCTTTGCTGGGAATTTTAAGGTCCTGCTCATCACTGGGAAAGTGTTTGTCCTCCAAGGTTAGAAATGGAAAATAGACTGGAATCTTTTTCACCCACAGACAAAGACAAGAGAGCCATTGTTTTCTTTCAGATTAGAGAAAGCAAAGAGAAAGAGAGACTGGAGAAGAGATTATTGGAGGAGTTGTTCAAGATGTTCATGGATTCAGACTCCTTTTACTACAGCCTGAGCTATGACCTGACAAATTCTGTGCAGAGGCAGAGCGCGTGTGAGAAAACCAACCTGCCCCTGTGGCGGAAAGTGAGTGCTTGGGTTTGTGTTATTTGTGTTGTTTGTGTGTGTTTGTGTGTATTTGTTTGTGTTATTTGTGTTGTTTGTGTATGTTTGTGTTTGTTTGTGTGCATTTGTTTGTGTTATTTGTGTTTGTTTGTGTTTTTTTGTGTTGTTTCTTCCACCTGGGGCATGAGCTTCCAATAATGGTCATGCTCCAAACCTGGCTGGTCACATTTTACAGCAGCTGAACACCGTGTCCTGTAACCAGCTCAGGTGCAAAGAAACAAAAGTCTGCAGCAGCATGACCTGAACTGAAGTGTTTTATTTAAAGCTCTGAATTGTCTGTGCAGGTGTGGTGAATAAACTGCTGGCCTCTGGTGTCCTTCCCACAGATATTGCCAAACCTAACTTGTAATGATGCAAAAACTGCCCTTTTGTCTTCTGAACAGGTGGATGACAGATTCTTTTGGAACAAGCACATGATTGAAGATCTCATCAGCATTGATGTGAGTTGTTTCTGAGATGAATTAAGAGAACCATTCTTTAGTTCTTTTTAGTTGAGATGTTTGCTTAAGGCCTCGTAGGGGTTTGGTTCCAAACCTGCTTGGCAGACAGGTCAGGATCAGGGCTGTGCCTTCTGTAGCTGAGCAGCTGGTGCTGCCTTCTGCCCCCAGCCAGCCTGTGGTCATTGCTAAGGAGGGAACTTCAGCTGAAATAAAACATTAAAACAATAAAGCAGTGTAGAATAACTTGGAGTGATGTGTTTGTGCTGATTTCTAGAGGTAAAGTTGAGTTGTGTTTTTATGTGAAATGGATTATCCCTGAACAGAGCTGGACTTGATAATGAGGAGGAGCCAGGAAAGAAATAACTGAATTCCAGAGTTTCCCTGAGATAAGATTTTGGTGGTGTTTTGTCTCCTTTAGCACAGTAGCTGATCAGTGGAAAAACAGTGTAGAACAAGTTGTTCTGAACATCTGTCCAGAGTAAATAAAACATTTTCCTGGCCAATGAGCACATAAAGAAACAGCAAACCACCACTCTTTCTTCATTATATGACCTTCCATAATTTTAAATTAACCTCCTAGACCAAGGACTAAGTTGCTAACTTCTGCGTGCCAGTTTAGGGCAAGTCTAATTTTCCTTAGGGGTAACAGCAGGCATCTTGCCTTGTGCCCTGCTCCTCTTTCATGGGTAATTATACATAAACAAATGGTTATGGAGTCACAGCAGGGTAAACCTATGTCCTCTGTGGAAAGTTGTGTGTAGTGCAAAAATTTAATGGGTTGTATTTTTCATATTATAAATGGATAACCTTGAGTTATTGAGGAATTTGGATCTCAATTCTGTTTAAGAAATCAATGTTTTAGGGTGCAGAACCATGAACCAATTGTCTTGAGGACTAAATTAGCCCATATGAAGGGCCTAATTGTTATACTGTTATGTGTTGCTGAAAACAGGCTATCATCTCTACCTTCCTGTATAAATGTGGTACAGTATGTGTCCACACAGAGGTTTTATAACTGCCTTAAAGCAGAAACTAGGTCAAAAAAATTGCTTGCTTTCTTCTGATTTAAAAGCCCTGTGACTGATGGAGGAAAAATGCTGCTATCTCTTACAGAAATAAGGATATGGCAAAAATTAAAGCATGAAAAGCATGTGAGGCAATGCTTTATTAACCTGAGAAATGGCAGAAACAATTGTAGCTAATGTTGGACCAACAGGAGAGTAAATGTTTTTTGTACCCTTCAGAATCCTGAAGTGGACTTCTGGATCATCCCCATCATTCAAGGATTTGTGCAAATTGAAGAACTGGTAGTAAACTACAATGAATCTTCTGATGATGATAAGAGCAGCCCTGAAACTCCTCCTCAGGAATCCTCGTGTGTGGATGACATCCACCCCACGTTCCTGGTGGCGCTCATCTCCCGCCGGAGTCGGCACAGAGCTGGTGGGCAAACTCACCCCAGGCTGCTGGGGTGCTCCTGGCACTGCTGGGGCATGCAGCTGCTGAAAATGGACAGTGCTGAGCTGTTCAGTCTTTGCTGCTTTTTTCTGCCACGCTCAGGATTGAATGTGGGAGATGGTATTTCTTGTTCAGACTCAGATGTTTGTTAGCGCTGGTCTCTTGTGGGATCTCTGTGAGAAGTGGAGCCTCTGCCAGTAAAAGTGGCCTTTAGGTTCATGGAAAATACTGAGCACTGAAGGAAAACTTTGTGCTAAATGTGATAGAACAGGAAGAAATGTGTCTTTTAAGATGGACCAGAGGTATTTGTGACATTAATCTGCCTTGTCCTGTCAGCTTACATTCTGCTGCTCATAGTGTATCAGTAAATAAACTTTATCCATACAGTCAAAATAACTGTAGAAGAATAACCTAGGATAGGACTGACTTCTACCATTGATCATGGATTTGGGCTAGAACTCTTGGTTTGGGTTAGCATTGTCCAAACCAGCAACATAAATCCTTAATGTTTAAGGCAAATGCTTTAATGTGACTTGACTATTCTCATTATTCCCCCAGGAATGCGGTATAAGCGGAGAGGTGTTGATAAAAATGGAAACGTTGCAAATTATGTTGAGACAGAGCAACTGATCCATGTCCACAATCACACCCTTTCCTACATCCAAACACGAGGCTCTGTGCCTGTTTTCTGGAGCCAGGTTGGGTACAGGTACAACCCACGGCCCCGGCTGGACAAGAGTAAGTGTTTGGGTGAAAAACCTTAAAATCAGGGCCCCCTGGAACTCTTCTTTTGGAGGAGATGTTTATGTGGCTGTGGTGCATATGTAGAAGGATGAAGCAGGCTTATTAAAAGTTAAATTTTTGTCCTATCTCCTCTGCACAAAAAGCAAAATGCAGCAAAATTCAAGAACGTGTTTGCTTAAGCAGCAATGTTGAAGCTGAGCAAATTAATGAAAGACCTTAAAAAGTAATTCTGTACTATGTGTTATTATCTTTAAGCTAAGGTATCTTGGTTTTTTAGAGTACAAATTTGGGCATGATTTAATACATCAAACAGGATTTATTGCTGAGCAGGCTGCTTCTGTCTAACACTGCTCTGCCTTGTAGGTGAAAATGAAACCGTGTCCTGTTTTCGTGCACACTTTGAAGAGCAGCTGAAACATTACAAAAAGCAGGTGAGTGCTACATGACAGAAGAGTAATCTCATGAAAATGCAGGGGTTGAAAGTTAATGCTTTTAGGTTGTTTTTCTTGGTGATGTGTTGTGGGTTTTTTAGAAGTTTGTTGACAATCGGAAGGTTGGTACATAAATAGAATTTTACTTAAGGTTTTTCAAATAGCCTTGTAAATAACCAGTAAAACCCAGGAATAACTTTTGGCAGTGTTTAAAACTTATTTCTGTATACCTTTCATATGCATTCAGAGCTTCTCTGTATTTAAATTTGTGTAGGCAGGGAACTGTTGGAGCTTATTTGTCTTAGGTACAATCTATCAAAGGTTGTAACTTAGCAAGATTCATAGCAATCTTTAACTCTGGAGCTATTTGTTATTGCATGATGTAAATCCAAGCAAGTTATGTAGCAGATGATGAATGTTAAGTAATTAAACTTTTGAACAGGTTATTATTAACTTGGTGGACCAGACAGGCAGAGAGAAGATTATTGGAGATGCTTACCTTAAACAAGTTCTTCTCTACAACAATGCAAATCTGACTTATGTTTCATTTGACTTCCATGAGCACTGGTAAGAAACCTTTTGGAAATGTCACTTTGCATCTTTTTTATTGCCATGAAAGGCGAGTATAAATGAGGAGAAGACTCATTATTTCTACTTCTGCATGAAACATTGTTTTTTTAGACAAGAATACAGTTTTTAAACTAAAGCACTATAAAATTTAAAAACTTGGGTAACCAAGCACTGCTGTTTGTGATGTTGTGTCCCTGACCTGTTAAAAATGGGTAAATACTTATTGGGCAAAGCTTAATTGTCCCACATTTTAAGTGTTTCCTTAAACATGCCACGAGTGTAAAGCTGTGGCTGACCTGCTTTTTCAAGCTATGTAGCATTTGCTTTTATTTCTCTATTTCTCTTGTTTGTTTCCATAAAAACATAATGGGTTCTTCCAGGACCCTAATGCTGTTATTTCAATATAAAATACAGGGATTTTTTTCTTAATCCACTGTGAGTAGTTGCTGTTTTCATGACTGCCCTCTGAGGCTCACATGCCCAAGCATGTCATCTGTCACAGGCATGTATTTCTCCTGCAGGCTGCATTTGTGTGGGGTCTAAAGTGGTTTAATGTGCATTTCCAAACCTAATCTAGGGATTGCAGCTGGCTGGGAGAGCATTACTGGCTGGCTGAGTATGGCATTAGTAGCTGCTGTCAGAGGGGGTGGTGGCAGGGGAAACCCCTCTCAGCAGTGTTGGCCTTTGAGAGTTCTGTGGGACTGTTGGCACCCTGGATTGATTTGATAATTAATCTTTCGTTTAGAGGAATTTTCATTTTCCCTCATTTTTTCCTACAAACAGCTGCAGTGACCAGGACTGTTCCTGCACTGTGAGCAGGAGAGAATTAAGAACAATCCTGAAAAATAACCAGATGGGGTAGGGGGAGGAGGGGGGATGTGTCTCTAGGTGGTTTTCTCTGTACAATCACTGGCAAAGCAGGACTCACCATCCCAGTTCCAAATCTACTGTAGTTACTTTTCTTGAGACTAAAATGAGAACAGAATGTTGCACATGCCTGAATAGCTGCACACTTGCTCTTCCTAATGGAAGCAGCATTAAAAAATGCAAAGTCCTGAGAATTTAATGATCTTTTAACCTCTTGCCTTGGATTTGGACATTGAACTGTACTGCAAAATAGCTCTGAATCTTGGCTGCTGATTAAAGCTCATTGCAGGAGGGAATGCTTGTCTCTCTCGTTTAGCCAAAACACCATATTTGTTAACAGTACAAATAAGATAAAATTGTTCAGTAAAGTCACTGCTCTAGTTCAAACTAACTTCTGTGAAATTTTGTGTTTCAGCCGAGGAATGAAATTTGAAAATGTTCAAACACTGACTGATGCCATTCACGATATTATTCTTGACATGAAGTGGTGCTGGTAGGTACTTAACTGTTTTTCGACTAGTAGGGGACATCTGTAGAGGAAAACACCAACAAAGAGTAGATATTCAGATGCCTAAATTTTGTCCAAACCAATATGGTTTATACATTTCTCTTTTGGTGTCCAGCTTGTTTGTCAGAGTTTCTGTCTTCTGAGGTGTTGGTGTTCTACCCATGTGACAGCAGAAATTCTCAGGTGCTGTTTCCTGCCTGAGGTTTATTGCATGTATGCATTTCACACTTTTAGGGTCACTCACATTTAGTGTGAAACACTCTGTATTTGACCCAGAAGCCCTAGGATGGCAGCCTGACTGTTGACAGCAAGCAGAGATTAGTTTGGACTGATTAAAGTTCATACATTTGGGTAACAAGTGTGGCTGCAGCCTCAATCAGTTGCTCTGTATTGTTCTGCATTGCTGTCATTATCATTGGCTTCTCTGTTCTTGAAATTAAATCCCTTTCCTTTTGAAAGTTTGTATTATGTATGCATGAGTTGAATTCAACATCTGATTGCACCTAAAGTTTGTGGCCTCAGTAGGATTTATGTCTGATATCCATGCTAGATTAAGAGGAGGATAAGTGGGAACAAGAGTTAATTCAGTGTGGGGTGTGGCTGGGGTGTGAGTGCAGCCAGAAACAGTGGTCCAGGTGTAAAATGTTCTACTGTTTGTAGGAGCTGCTGAATTACACTGGATTTTCAGTGTCTCAGTGTGCCTTTGTTCTCTCCCTGTTGGCAGGGTTGACCAGGCTGGGGTGATCTGCAAGCAGGAGGGGATTTTCCGGGTGAACTGCATGGACTGCCTGGATCGCACCAACGTGGTGCAGGCTGCCATTGCCAGAGTGGTCATGGAGCAGCAGGCACGTACACCTGAGGGGCCCTGCCAGGGGCTGAGGGCCTCCCACCTTCATTGCTGCTCACAGAGAAATCTGTGGGTTTGGAAAATGCCAAACTGACCTCTATGAAAAAATCTGTGCAAGATATTGAAGAGCCGCTGTGGAAGTTTGCAGGCAGCCCCGACATGGGAAGAGATGAGGATCTGACTCCTCATGTTTCAGAAGGCTGATTTATTATTTTATGATATTTATATTATATTAAAACTATACTAAAATAATAGAAGAAAGGATTTCATCAGAAGGCTAGCAAGGAATGGAAAGGAATGGAATGATAACAAAAGCTTGTGACTCTCAGAGAGTCTGAGCCAGCTCACTGTGATTGGGCCATTAATTAGAAACAACCAATATGACACCAATCCCAGATGCACCTGTTGCATTCCACAGCAGCAGATAATCATTGTTTACATTTTGTTCCTGAGGCCTCTCAGCTTCTCAGGAGAAAAAATCCTAAGGAAAGGATTTTTCAGAAAATACCATGGCTACAAGCTATGAAGCCAAGAGGAATAATATATACAAATGCAAAACTTGCAATAATTACAGAACAGTGATGCCTCCTTCTGTCCTCCTTCAGAAAGGACTGACTGTCCACAACTTGGAGAGGATTGTCTTGTTTAGATTTAGTAATTCCAGTTTAAGTTATGTAGGAATACAGAGTTTAGAAACATGGCACCTTCTCCCCCAAGTGCCTCACTGAAATGATGTTGAAGGACTAAAATCTAACAAATTGGGTGCTATTTTAGGAACTTTGAAGTGAAATACTGTGATGCAGCAAGTAGGGAGATGAGTTGTCCCTTCTGTGTGTAGAGGAACAATTAATTCATGATGTAAATAGCCCTGATGGCTGTGACTGTTGTGCTGTGGAATAGTTCTCCCTGTGCAGAGGAGGGATTTCCAAGCAGCCTGAGAGTACTTTCCTTTAGTTTTCCTCTTTGCTCTGGCCCTCCCTTGTTTTCTAGAAGCTCAGTGGTGACTTTGTCCCTGACACAGTACTGCTACAGACTTAATGTCCTGTAACTGGAACACCAAAGCCCCAGTCACAGCCCAAAATGAGCAAACCTGATTATGGTTAAAGTGAAGAAGGGATGAAGTGGGTCCTTCATTAGGGTGAAAAGTGACTGGATCTGGCCATTGTACCTGGCAGTTCCTCTTTGTGGTCTGCTGTTGTGAGCTCCTGACATAGGAGTGCTGAGGGCAGGGGAGGGATCAGCAGTCCCACAGTCATTATTTTAAAACAGGATTTCTATTCAGGGTAACTCTCGAGTTCCAATGTGATTCTTTGAAAAATAAGAGTGTTACAGATTGTTGTGAAGAGGCTAAATCATTGCTGGAGTGTGAGCTTGGGATGTGCTGCATCTTTCTCATCCTGGAGCTGAAGTGCTTGGGAATCATTAATGACTGAGAAAGGCCCTGAGCACTGCAGGGTCAGTGCCATGGAGTGAAGGACTGAGGGCTCATGTACCTCACTCTTCTTCCTTGGAACCACTGCTTTCTCTCATCTGGGAACTTGAAGGGCTTTCAGAGTTAATGAGCAGCTCTGTGTTAATTTTCATCTAACTTGCAAAGAGTGCTTGAGCAGCTGTAAATGGAAGTTTTCCTATGATTTATTCCAAGTTATCCCTGTCATTTATTGACTGCATTGCAGTTGTATGTGCTGCTCTGCCCACTCAGTGTGTGTACAAAGCCTGATGTTGGTGTTGTACCCAAGGCTTATCTGGGCAAAACTGAAGGACTGGGTGTTCTAAGAGGGAGAGATCTTACTCTGGTATCAGTGACAAACATTAACTGTCCAAAATGTGCAGGCACTCATAATAAACCAACATGAGAAGTTACTTTTGTTTTCAGACCCTTGAGGTCATGAATGCCTTCGCAATAGAAGACATACTAACTTGTTTATTTTTAAATTGTGAGGCCTGGTTTTTGATGATTTTCTATTGAAAAATTTCCTGTATCTTGAGAATCTACAGTAACTTGTTTTCCTTCAGCTAATTTTTTTGATGATTGACTTAACATCCATAATTAATGTTACTGCTGCCTCCAGTGATGTGATGTTAAGCAATAAACCACCAATTCATTAATTTAATCTGACAAATCAGCACAATGCCTTCCTCCCCCCATCATACAAAATCTAACAATTAAACACTTGGCAAACGCTTCAGTTTACTTCACCGAGCTCTGACACTGAGAGTGACTTTTACCTTGGGCACTGAATTAACCCATGTGTCAAATTCCAGCTCAAAAAACTGGGTGTGATGCCACCAGAGCAGCCTCTGCCAGTGAAGTGCAACAGGATCTACCAGATCATGTGGGCCAACAACGGCGATGCCATCAGCCGCCAGTACGCGGGCACGGCGGCGCTGAAGGTAACGGGGGAACCTCAGTGCCCCAGAGAGCCTCCCTGGGCTTACAGGGCTCCTGTGCACTGCAGAACCCTGAGGTATTGTCTGGGCTTGAGAGGGTTTCCAGCTAAAGAAGGCAGGAGCCTCCCCTGAAATGGAAAATTTAAACTCCCTCCCTCTGAATTGTTATAATTTTGAAATTAAGGGGCTCTCAGGCAAAGATACAGGAATAGAAATAACAGAATAACAGTTCTTTAGTAGGAAAATTAAAAATACAAATGCAAGAGTACAAAAAAAACCACTGAGAGAGTCAGAATAGATGTGACCCCCTGTGTGTCAGGGGGTGTCCCAGCCCCATCCATGGGGGCTCAGCCCTCCTGCAGTGCCAGCTGTGGCTCTGCTGCAGCAGGGATCCTGCACAAGGGGGGAGTTTTCCTCTGCAGCTCCAGGGCTGCTGCAGATGGGCCTGGGCTCCCTCTGGCCATGCAGGGCAGCAGAAAGCTGCTCTGTGGCAATGCAGGGGGCAGAGGCTGCTGGGGTGTCCCAAAGCCCAGATTGGATCCAGGTAGGAATGCTTGGCTCCTCCCCTGGGCGGGGCATCTCCCCATGGGATGCTGGGATTGGATCAGCCATGCAGGGACACTCACTGGCCATGGACAGCAGATAATTAATAATTAATGGCCTATGAACAGCAGAGATCTCCTGGAGGGCGGATTTGCTGTGGGAGAGATAAAGAAAACTGCCCAATGAACAGAGATACCTGCCCCACCTCTGACAGATGGCAATAAAATATACACCCCCAGCCACATCCTGCATCTCCAACCAAAGACAGATATTTAAAAGTTCACCAACTTCTCTTTGTGGTTTTGTTCTGGAGAGGTGAGACTGCAATGGAAGAAGGTTTTGTGTTGTGCTTGGTGTGAGTCAGAGAAGAGCTGAGTGCTCCCTGCACTTCACCTGCATTCTGTTCTCTTCAGCAAAAACCACAGCAGGGATAAGAGTTTGAGAGAGATATTAATCATTACATCCATTTGTATTTTATCATGGTTATAGTGCTTCTAAGTATTTACAATACTTAAAGAACACTCTAAAGTTCTGGAGATCAGGTAGGTAATAGGGTGATATTAATTAGCTGTATTTTCTAAAGACTCTTCTTAATTAGCTGTAATGCACTCTGTGTACCAAGATCAAGCATGAAACTCCATGCTCTGTACTTCTGCTGCTTTGAGAAGTCATGGAATTTGGGGTATTTGCTGTGTGTAACTGGTGGAACAAATTTTAGTAGTATTTGCATTTGACATAAGAAAAATCATTATAGTGGAAACTCTTAACACTTAAATCTGTCTTTAAATATGTCTGCTGAGCTTTGATTAGTTGATTGCATTAATATTTAAAGAAAAAGATTAACGTGCTTGTTTTCATTGAGTATATTAAACTTTAAATCTGAAGTGCAGACCTCAATTTATAGATCTAAATTTTCAGCCCTTCTGCTGGAAGATTTCTCCACTCACTGTTGAGGTTCATGGATTAAATTAATTATTTTTAATTGTGGTACTTCTTTTAATTTGAAAGTGAAACACACTTGGAATATTCTTCATAAGAGTTGATGTTGCTTTTAGAAATGCTCTGTGCCAGCATGTCTCTGAAAATAGAATCCTCTAATGAACTATAACTACAAAAACAACTTTTTATTCAAATTCTAAGCCTTCTGTGGCCTAGAAACTTTCTTTTGTTTCTGAGGTTGTGAGGATATGTGCTGCTTTCCCCCAGTATGTTATGTTTGTCTTGTTTTGGTAGCAAAAGCAGTGAGATGAAAACCATTTTTAAGTAAGCTTCAGTCTTCTCTACTGTTCCAGTTGTGTTCCTTTTACATTAAAGGCCAAAAAATAAAGGCCTTTAATGTAAAGGCCAAAAAAGGGATTTTTTCTTTTGGAGGTATTGAAGCATCACAATGATTGATGTATTGAAAGTCCTGCTTCAATGTTAGCTGGCTTGTATGTCCAGATTTGTCTTCTGTTGGAATTTCCTACTGAAATTGTAAGTCTGTCATAACCAGAGTGCCAGAAGATGCTCTTTGAAAAAAATAAATTTTTCAACTTCTGTATGAAATAGTTACTCAAAGATAATTCCTGAGTTTCCATCTATTCAGTTCTGAATTTCAGAGTGCCAAATCCTTTCAGCTGAGCCTGCTGCTCCAGAGTTTGATGTAAAGATTTGCATGTTGTGTGTGACAGGGTGACTTCACAAGGACTGGTGAAAGGAAGCTGGCAGGGGTGATGAAGGATGGAGTGAACTCTGCAAACAGATATTACCTGAATCGTTTCAGGGATGCTTACAGGCAAGCAGTCATAGGTAAGAGCACAATTTCAACCTAGCTGAGTGTGGTATTTAGAAAAGATTATGAAATCATTTTGGTTTCATCTTTCTGACTGATTTGTTTTTTCTCCTGTTGCTTAAAAGCATTGTGAGTGGGTACATGTCTGTAGTGGACTCTGGAAGGAACAATCTCATTTTGGAATTTAAGCAACACTCAATTCAGAGGGATTGCATGCAGTGTGACTCACTGGAGGCTTTGCCCCAGCTTCATTTTAGTATTAAATGTCTTGTAGCATCTCTTCTTAAGACAAAGTTAAATTTATGTAGCAAGTATCTCTTAAAATTGTGAGGAACTCTTGTTTTCCACTGAAAGTAGAATTACACCTTCTGAGTTTTCAGTTAAGGAAATACTCTCTTCAGAAAGACTACCAAGAGCATCGTTAAAATGCAGCATTTGGAAGGAATTTACAAACTCTTGCCATGTATCACTTTTAACTGTGTCTTGCTTGATATTTCCTGGGGTTTATTTAGATTTGATGCAGGGCATCCCTGTGACAGAGGACCTGTACTCCATATTTACAAAAGAGAAGGAGCACGAAGCCCTGCACAAGGAGAACCTGAGGAGCCACCAGGAACTGATCAGCCAGCTGCTGCAGAGCTACATGAAACTGCTCTTGCCAGATGATGAAAAATTCCATGGAGGTTGGGCACTCATTGACTGTGACCCAAGGTGTGTTGAATTTAAGTTAAAGTTGATCAGCTGCTACTCTGACACCTCTGTTAATTACTTCTGATGTTAAAAGGTTTTAACTGTGTGGACAGTTCTGTAGAAAAGGACAAGAGTGCTTGAAGGGTTTGAATAGTTGTAAAGGGAAAAATCCTCTAAACATGTGCTTTCCCCAAAGTGCCATAAAATGGTGCATGCTGGAATGACCTTAGAGAGATCATCTGGAAATGGATGGATGTGGTTGATATTGCCAAAATGTGGCAGGTAGCATGAAGAGAACTTGTGGAACTAAGGGTGGGTAAAAGGGAGTGCTTGAGGAGCTGTTCCTTGTTGCTTTACAGGGAAAGTGTAACTGGATTGATCAGATTGCATCCTTGGGGAATGAGTCAGCAGTTGGACAGTCTGGATTTCTGTTCATGGAAATTAATGAGCATAAACTCTGAACTTCACTCCTTATCAAGGTCAGAGTTCAGGAGCTTGCAAGAGAAAAATAGTGGTTAGATCTCCTGCAGGTTAAACTTCAGCATCTAAAAATAGCAGAGCAGGTTGTTATGACAGCTCTTCAATTCAGGGCACAGGCTCATCACCCTCACTGAGGCTGAGGTATTTTTCCATTTCTCTGGTAGCATTTTTAATAGCTTGTGGGCTTTCTGTTTATTTTTGGACCTTCTGCTGATGTTTTTGAGCTGTTAGATAACTTCAGGTTTGAGAGAGACTGTTGCTTACATGGATTTGATAACACACCATGATTGAAACTTCTTGTAACTTGTGTTCAGCTCCTAAAGAGTGTCTCCAGAACACACTGGGCACAGGTTACAGCTCTGCAAATAAAACCTGCTACCCTGTATTTATTTTCCTTCCCTTCAGTCTCATCGATGCCACTCATAAGGATGTGGATGTGCTGCTTTTACTTTCAAACTCTGCCTATTATGTGGCCTAGTAAGTTACCACTTTCCCTTACTATGTGTAGTTTATTTTAGTAGCTCTGCTTTAGATTAGTAGGAAGCACTAAATTCTGTTTCTTTCTTCTAGCTACGATGATGAAATCGACAAAGTGAATCAGTACCAAAGGTTAAGTCTTGAAGCTCTGGAAAAAATAGAAATAGGTAAGAAAACAGTCACTCTGTCTTTTTTTGAATGCTCTTTACAATGGCTTGAGCACCTATCAAAGCATCCTACAAATGTATTGAAGCAGCACTGCTTGAAGTGTGGCTCATGCCCTGGGCACCCTCCCCAGAAATGGCCCCTCTGGCTGAGAACAGCTGCCAGGCTCTTCCTGCTGCTGGAAATGGAAGCTTTGATCACTGGAAGGTTCTAAAATCTTCCCTCTTTCAGACTCCTAAAAGAGCCACAGAGTCATCCAAACAGATTTCATTATTTATCAAATGGCAGTAACAATTTTGCCAACTTCTGTAATGAGTCACAGGTTTGTGCATTCAGGGCTCTCTTCCTTTGATCCAAACACAGCCAGGGGCTCAGAATTGTACTTCAGATCTGCTTCACAGCTTTGTGAAACTTCTCTTTCTCAAGGGCTGGTAACAAACATGCTGTTTCAAATTGCTGTTTCTATTTTATTTGCTATGGAATGTAACATCTGCTGGCTAAATCCAGCATTTTCTGCTGGAAGCATTAAAGATGTGATCTCTTTAAATCATGAGAAAGGTGATCCAGTTGGGGAGAAGGGAGTGTGTGGCCTCCTGATGGAGTTTAATCCTCCATTGCACAACCCACAGTGATTTCATCATCTCCTGACTTTCACTGTGTCTGTGCCATTTCTGGGCACTCAGGGGAAAGGTCTCCCTCAGTGTGTATTGTGGAGATTTGTGTCCTGAGGCACAGAGCAGAGTCCAACATCTACATCCACACCTCATTTAATGCTGTAGGTTGTGCAGGGCACTGAAGAGTTGAAGTACTGGTCTGAATGTTGAAATTTCAATTACATCCCCCTGATAAAAATACTTGCTTTTCCTTTAATCCTTGCAGGAGCATTCCCTAAAAACCCACAGGATGTAAAAAGTGTAAAGCTTTTTTTTTTTCCCCTTCTATTTGAAAGAGTGATCTGCAATAAACAATCAGGCTGGGTTGTAACAGACATACAGAGAGTGTAATTACTTTTTGTAAGTTATTGATTGTTTAGTTAATGTGAAAATCTTTCTTTTAAAGTATCAGTCCTGCTCTTATGAAAACATGAAGCATTTTAGGCTGAAGAACACTGTCAGCACTTACATAGCCTTAGCTGCAGGCTCTGCAGTATCTCTTTCAGTGTTTGGTTAAAGATTTCTAAAGATTTCTCCTGGTTTCTCTCTCAGGGCCTGAACCTACTCTCTTTGGCAAACCCAAGTTCTCTTGCATGAGGCTGCATTACAAATACAAAGAAATGAGTGGATATTTTCACACCCTCAGGGCTGTGGCTCGCAGCCCAGAAGAAGATGGAAAAGGTTTGTGTCCTGTGTAGAGGTTTTAGACATAGAAGTGTATCCAATGTTTTGGTGTTTCTCTAAAAAACACTTGTTCTATTGCTCTTAAAATTTATCCTTCTTCAGAAATCACTCCAGTAAAATCCTGTTGTGATGTTGGAAAGCAGTTTAAAAAAATCACTCAGTTACTGTTCTAATAGAAAAAAAATCCAGATACAGCTTTAAAGTAAAACATCTCTCTAGAACTAGAATAATTTCCCTGTTCAGGTCTTTACTGCTTCAAAAACTTAGAAAATGAAGTTAAAATTAACTCCTAAAGAGGGAAAGAAATTGATTTCTTTAGTGAAATCAGTGTCTGGAAATGTTCTTGCTTGTTGTTTAACTAGATTAAACAAACACTAACAAGGGGAAAAATATCACTTCATACCTGGAGCACTGAGTTTTGTCAGCAAGGTTTAGAATAAATAAAATTGCTTCTTTCCCTCCCCAAATGAGGCAGTGTGGCAGTGATTTGCTTAATGCTGAGCATTTAGGGCTGAAGGAGAGTTTATTCTTTAGGTTTGTTTTGTAAGCTTTAAATTAGAATTGCCACTTGAAGGGCACAACTGCTCTGCAGGGTGAAAGAAAAGAAAAGCAGTAAAATCAAACAAAATTACATTAAAATTAGACTTGTTTCTTTGTAGATTGTGGAATATGGGCTTTTAAGGGTGTGTTTAAGGGTCTGACAGGTTCTGCTTGGATTTCAGACACCCTTCAGTGCATTGCAGAAATGCTGAGAATCACAAAGCAAGCAATGGGAATGGATGTGCCCATTATTGAGAAGAAGCTGGAGAGGTGAGTACCTCAGTGATGTGATCCTTCTGTATCCCACCTTTGCTCTCAACTCTGCTGCTTCTCCCAGCTGAGTAGAAAGTGCAGCCAAAGAACCTTGTTCTTTTTACAGCTATTGCAAAATGAATATTTGCTAAATCTGGCTACTGGCTATACACAAAGTTAGGGTTAAAAAAATGGAGAATTCAAATCCTTTTTAATCAAAACCTAAAGTGCCTGCAGGAACTGCCTGTTCCCCTTCTTGGGCTACTGTTCTGTATCAACCCTCCTTTGTGGGTTTCAGCTTGATTAGCTTATATGGGTACAATATTATTATGTATAAAATTTATTATTTATGTAAGAAAAGGGTAACTTAGGAACTGAAATGTCCATTTGTGTTACAGAAATAGACTGGAGACAGAGTACACTTGGTGCTTTGATTGTTAAATAAAGATCTTTTTCCTCTTCTAGGAGGAGCAGCAAACCTCATGAAGACATCATTGGCATTCGGTCTCAGAACAGAGGGTCCCTGGCCCAAGGCAAGAATTATTTACTGAGCAAGTTCTCCTCCCTCAATCAAAAGGTGAAACAAACCAAATCCAACGTCAACATCAGCAACCTTCGGAAGCTGGGCAGCTTTGCCAAACCTGAAGTGAAAGTCAATTTCTTAAAGCCAAACTTGAAAGTGAATCTTTGGAAGTCGGACAGCAGCCTGGAAACCCTGGAGAACCCCGGCGTGGATGCGAAAGCCGCCAGCGAATCCGACACAGAAGGCTCGGACAATGACTCCTTCCACTCGGATGACTTCCTGAGCAACTCCAAGTCGGACGAGGAGGGCCAGCTGGGGGGCTCCCTGGAGAGCATGGGCCCCACGGACTACGTGCTGCCCAGCTGCGGCATCATCGCCTCGGCGCCGCGCCTGGGCAGCCGCTCGCAGTCGCTGAGCAGCACCGACCTCAGCCTCAGCGTGGCCGTGCCCGCCGAGGGCCAGGGCGCTGCCCCGCCCGCCTCTGAGGGCGCGGGGCTGGAGCTGGCCAAGCCCGTGGATGTGTACTGCCAGAGGTTCGTGCAGGACGCCCAGAGCCAGGGCTGCCATGTGCTGGAGCCCGAGGCTGCTCCTGCAGAGCCCCACCACGCACCCGCCCAAAGCAGCAGCAGCGCCGCCAGGAAGGCAGAGCCCAAGGCTGAAGCTGCTGCAGACGTTCCTTCCAGGCCATCGAAGCTGGATGTTCACTCTTCTGAGCCAAACCCTCAGCTCCTGGCCGTGGGGGGGCCTGACTGGAGCAAATCCCAGCGGAGCCCGGGCTCTGTGTCTGGGAACCAGGAGCCAGGACTCCAGGGCTCTCCTTCCCCCGCCGACGGCAGCGGCAGCAGGGCCGTGTCTCCCTTCGCTAAAATCCGCAGCTCCATGGTCCAGGTTGCCAACATCACCCAGGCAGGATTGACTCAAGGGATTAATTTTGCTGTGGCAAAAGTCCAAAAGAGCCCTGCAGAACCGGAAACTTTAAATGAAATCAAACAAAAAGAACTGAGAGAAATGTTTACGCAATGCCAGACGCGAATAATTCAGATCTAGTTGCTCATTTGGGAAGTGTTCTTCTAGCTGTGGCTTCTAATAAAATAACCCGATGACATCAGGACTATTGTGGCATGAACTGCTGCTGGATACTGGGATTGATAATAGGTAATTTGTTTACAAGCAGTGAGAGATGCAAATGAATTTGGTTCTGACCAAGCTTCAGAATTCCCTCAGGCAGGTGAGACAGAACCTGTATAAACCATATTTAAACAGGTAGCTTAGACACTGGGATTCAATAAGCATGCTGTCTATCTTAGATGTGTTGCACAGTTATTTTTTTGAGACTAATTTTGTAGCTCTTCTGAATTATGTAGAAAGTATTTATACTCAAAGGATGATACTGCACTTCTGTGACCTTACTTACCTTGCACTACACCAGCAAAATAAAGTACCGGTAAATTACATTTTATTTATTTTTGGACTAGTATTTTTACTTGTTTTCAATGAAGTTCTAGATGCAGCTCTCTGAATTGTGCCTCTACAATGGGAACCGATGTGTTTTTGTTGAATTTAAGTATGTTAACCAGAAAGTAAGATTTCTTTCTATCCTTTTCTTTCCTGACATCCTGGGACACTTTCATTATAGATGAAGCTTAGAGACCCAATCTGAAATACCCACAATCCTGCAGTGCAAATTTCTTCTGTAGATTGGTTTTTTCCTCACTTGTTTTGATGTGAGGGGAAATGAAGCAAGTGTCTTTGAATTGTCTTGCCCATGTTAGTTATTTTTATTTAAATTCCAAACTCTGCCCATTTGCTCTGTTTTTGTCTCTGTAAAGCAGGACGAGCCAGATCCCTGCCCCTCAGGCACTGTGTCCCTCTGTGCTAGGGTTCTCTCTAAGTGTGAAAAATGATGCAAAATCCCAACTACCATCTGGAGCAGGAGGCCAGTGCACTGCTTTGTAAGATCAGGGTTGCATTAGAGCATCGCTGTCAGCATCTGTCCAAGACCAAATTCCTGACCAGCTCCAGCTTTGCACCTCGCAGGGTGGAGCATCTGCTCCTGCTGGGAACTGGATCAAAAATCCCCTTTGCTCTGTGTGTCCAAGGATTCCAGCTATGAAATCCTCCTTCCCAGGAATGCCTTGCCATGCCATTCCAGTGTAGGACCTTGTCCAGAAGCTGCTGTGAAGCAGGACCTTGCTGTGCTGTGGTTTGTGACTGTGGCACCCTGACAGACCCAGTGCCTGTGTCCTCGTCCCTGTACTGTAGATAGGCTGCACGTGGTGTCCCCACAACGCCCTGGCCTGCCCTAGGGTAGCTCTGTGTCTTAGGACTTGTACTGTGTCTGAAACCATTTATCACCTGAAACTTTGATCAACAAATTTGGTTTATTTATTTTATTAAAGTGATGTGGGTTTGGGTTTTTGTTCTTTTTTTGAGTGTCTATACTTGTGGTTATATTTAAAATTAAACTACTGCTGTATTTTAATGTGAGCAATATACATGAAATATTTTAATAAAAAAAGTGAAATCAAAAGCAGGGTTTGGTATGTGATGTTAAGGCATGTGGGACTGTTTCTTTCAGAATTACAGACACAATTCTCCTGGTAGTCAGGGGACACAGGCATGACTTCACTTCTTTATCCTCTTTAGAATGGTGCTGCTTTTCTGGGCAGCTTGTGCCAGGGCCTCACCACCCTCACAGGGAAGAACTTCATATTTTATCTAAATCTATCCTCTGTTAGTTTGAAGTCATCCCCCCTTGTCCTGTCCCTCTCCTGCAGTTCCATGTCCTTCCAGCTATGAAATACTGGAGATGGCAATGGGCACAAAAACATCCCCTGAGGCAATCTCAGAACCCAACCCTGCATTCCAGCCCAGCTGCCTTTTGAAAAGTGTTCATTTCCTTCCTCATTTGTTCAGTTGCTTCACTTCACAGTAATGCAGCACAAGTCAGACAAAACCATGAATATTCATTTTTAGTGCTCAAAAAAAAAAAAGAGAAAAGAAATAAGCTCTAAGTGATTTGAAACAGCACCAAGCTTGGCTCAAATTTAGGATACACAAAAAATGTTTCTCATAATAAGTACTCATTATTAGTGTGAAGAGACAAAATATCCAGATTGGCTGTACAGCAAAAGCCCTCATGTTTAGAGCAGGAAAATACCATAAAAAGGGGGTTCCTGTCCCTTTCAATCAGCAGAAAGCACTAAGTAACCCATTTCAACACCCAGCACTGCCCAGGCAGAAAGTAAAGATGTTTTGTGTGAGCACAGGAGTATCACCCAGTGTCCAGTCACTGTGGGGTTTTTTAAGAAGCTGTACCAAGACAAAGCTCATTGGAGAAATGTGAGAAATCACGGTCTGCTCTAAGCACAAGGGAAATATTTTTTCTACCTGAGCTGGTCAAATCACTGCTTGGTACCACACTGTGATACCATCACACTGCTGCTGCTGCTGCTGCTCTGAGTGTGACCTGCCCCAGCTCACAGAACAGCACAGAGTGAAGTCAGCACCTCCTCCACTGCAGCTGCAGGCCAGCTGAGTGCTCTGATCCTCACAATTCAGCCAAGCAGAAATGAGAGCACAAATGTCCTCCAGAACAGAGCATACCACTGCTATGTATGAAGGGCTCTGGCTTAAATTCTCTTACTATTAAAGGGAGTAAGTTTACACAACCTCAGTATTAAAGTTTAATATCAAACAATTTGCTCAATGTTACCAATTTTCAATTACAAAACAGGGTCCAAAAAAATTCCATAAAATATGTTTAGGTGGCTGAACAGAGTTAAGCGCGTTCAGACCGCAAGGGTAAATATCCATAACTTTTTGGTATAAATTATCTACAAAAACCGGTATAAACAATATTCCAATCTTAGTATGGGTTCCACCTAGGATTAGAGACATGTTCAGGGTGACATCCAGCAGGTGTTAAAGTTCATTGCCATTGACACACTGCTGCTGCTGCAGCCTGGCCTTGCGCAGCGCCTCCAGCTGCTT